CTGAATTCTCGCGAAAAGAACCCAACACAAGCCCATCGTGGGCATGGATGAATGGAGAGTATTAATCAGCTTTTCGAGTCGCGAGGGCCAGAGATATCCCAGATCGATAATGGAGGAAGAAGATGAGCTCGAGTTCAGCGTTGACATTCATCGCTGAGATAGTTATCAACCCGAGGTCGAGGTACCTAACATCGCTCAGAACAGCATGCGCACGAGTTCAGTGCGCCCCGCGAGCCCGAGAAGTCAAAATCCATGGCAAGTAGCCAGGGAACAGGTACTTCATTGCACATATACATACATTGCAACCTGTGACGCAACAGAACCACAGCGTACAGTGCGCGCCGGAGCCTCAGGACTGATATCACTGCCCCCTAGCGGTACTTGAGCTATCATCCGCCAGCGGTTCCTTGCCGAGCATAGATTCTTCCTGAGTGAGGCCCAGCTCATTCGCAGTACCTGTAAGTGTGATCAGCACAAAGTTCGACTGAACTGAAGGATTGGGAGAGACGGTGTAAGAGTGTGGAGGTTTGTAAATGTGAATATGTACATGAAGCAAGGATGACTTAGAGAAGAAGAAAAGAATAGACGTAACCAAATCGCACAAACCAACGTGGATCAAGGGGTGCAACGAATCAGCACATGTCGTGGGATTCAAGGCAGCCTCGTCCGGAAAGACATATGAAGGACGTAGCGGAATACGCATCCACATGCATGGCAGCTCAAGAGATTAACATGACCAGAAAGTCGCGATACATCCACCAAAGAACCAAGATGAACGTCTAAATCAAGCCGAGAACAGGTTGAAGGGGTGGGAAACCAAGTAGAAGCCGATAACGCGTAGAAAGACAAACGCCAAGGGGACGGAAACCCAAGTAATCACCAATCCAGAAAGAAGAAAGAAGAACAATCAACAGTACCTTCTCTCCCCAAAATCACCCAGCCCAGGAATAATGTACGCCTTCTCGTTCAGGCCCTCGTCGATCCAGCCCGTTATCACGCGCAGGCTGGGGTATTTCGAGCAGAAGGTCTTAAGGCCTTCGGGGGAGGAGATCTGATTTGGGGTCGTGTCAGGATCGGCGTAGCAGTGTTGGCATGGGCATAGCAGTGATAAGGTGCACGGGAAAAGCGTATGTCGATGTACAGGAAAAGCGAATGTCGATGCACAGAAAAAGCGGATGTCGATGTGCGGGGAAAGCGTATATCGACGCAGAACGTGAAGGGGGTAAAATGAAGGAACAGCACGTACCAAGTTGATAAAGATGATCCTCTCCTCCGGAACGCCCGTCTCCATGAGTACCTCTACGGCTTTCATAGCTGACCCGCCCGTAGCTACATAGCATGTCATTCAGTCAGTCAGTGAGTAAGTAGGATGAATGACGGGGTGGTAGAACGCACCGAGCATGGGATCAAGCAAGAGCACATATCTCGAGGCGATATCTTGTGGGAACTATAGTGTCCTAAAGTCAGCATGCCGTCCTAGAGTAGGAGAAAGACCTTGCGCACTTTAGAGTAAAACAACTTCGGCTGCGTCGTCTCCTCGTCCTGCCGATCACGAAACCGTCAGATAAGGTCGTGTGCATGAATTGAACAGCCGAGATAACGGACTGACGCGCTGTATCAAAATTTTCCCAATCCTCACACTCCGGCACACCTCTCTCAAGCCCGCCTCCATAGCCTAGCACACACAAGTTATCAGCACAGCACACACCCTGTCTCTCAAAATCGTACGCACCTCCCCCGCCCTCAAGATCGACACCCCACAGATCTTCCCCTCAAACCCGACCCCCTCATAATGCGAACCCGTCGGCGTCTCCACCGCCTTCGGCACAACAGGTAAATGGTTCAGTCCCTCCTCGACGAGCAGCCGGATGATCCTGTCGGAGTAGAAGAGGAAGTCACCGCGGTTCGTATCCTTATCTCTTATGATGGTGTAGAGGGCTTCGAGTTGGGGGGTGCGTTTGAGAGTGAAGACGGAGGGGGGGATGGAGGCGGGTTGGGGTTGCATGGAACTGGAGTGGGTGGACATGATGGATGGAGGGAAGGTGATCTGAGAGGGAAGAGGTGACGCCTCCAGCCTGTCCAGGGAGCCGTTGGCCCGATTGCCGAGGATTAGCCCTTGTGCGGACACGGTCACGTGCCACTTTTCCTTCATCCGACGCCCTCGTTAATGTCGTTTTCGTCATTGTTCACCTTGTTCAAGCTAGCCGCTACCTCCACTGCATTCAAAAACCCCCTTGAAGATCGGATCCAACAGGCAAGCAAGCTTGAAGCGGTGGTGCTGGAGGGGCTGAAGGAGTTGAAGAAGTCAGGTGTGAAGCAGTTGGCAAACAGATTGGCGGAATGGAAAGAGTGGGATGGTCTGGTGCTGTATCAAGGACAGGTGTACATGCCTGATGAAGGCACATTATGGCAGGAGGTGCTGAAGCAGTGTCATGATGCGCCAACAGCAGGTCATCTTGGGATCCATGGGACTCTAGAGCTGGTGGATCAACAGTTCTGGTGGTCTCAGGTGTGTTCCTTTGTTGAGAAGTACGTGGCAGGCTGCAACACCTGTCAGCAAGCGCGCACACCTAGGCACCCTATCACGGAACTCCATCCTCATGATGTTCCTTCAATGATGCAATTGCCATGTATGTCAATCACTATACAAAGATGACTCACATGTTCCCCACCACCTCCAAAGTCACCACCAACAGCATTGCAGATGTACACCACTCCGCATCTTCTCTTGATATGGCTTACCCAACTCCTTTGTTTCCAATTGTGGTCCCCAGTTTGCATCACAGCTCATGCAGACACTGCTGAAGTGCCTCAGAGCTCAGTCATCCCTCACCACCGCGTATCACCCCCAGTCCAATGGCCAGACAGAGTAATCCAATCAGGAAGTCAAGAAGTACCTATGCCCCTATTTGTCAATGAATGCCAAGACAACTGGGCCTCTCTCCTCCCAACTGTTGAGTTTGTCCTTAATTATCGTGTCCACTCTGCTCACAGGAAGTCACTCTTCAAGATGATGTATGGGTTCTGTCCAGAGTTTAACATTTGCATTGGTTGTCAAGGCAACATCCCTGGGCTGGAGGAGAGGCTGTTCGAGTTGAAGAAGGTGCAAGAGGATGCTGTGGCGGACAACAACAAATGAGGGAGGCTGGTGCGACCTGGAGCTAGGGCTCTACAGATCTGAGAGGTGGGTTAAAAGCAATCTGGAGATTGAGTGCAAGACTGGATCCAACTGCACACAAACTATTCCCAAAGACCAAGTTAGATTGATAGACTACAGAGAGAAAATACAGGAGACCCAACTATTCCCAAAGACCAAGAGGTCAAGATGGAAAAAGGGGGGTGAAGCGAAATTACAGACTAATATATGTGATAAACTACATCAAGGAACACACAACCTGAAGTAATCATGAGACAACAGAGAACAATAACTGCAAAGATGTGCTCCAGTACTACTATATGAACACCCAAACAGAAATGATGCAGCCCGGATCAGGGATGGATTCAAGAGACCAAGATGAGCAAAAGGGAATAAAGACAAACAAAGACCAAAACAAGACCATACAAGACTTAACCAGAAAAGTGGTGGAAATGGGCACTTCACCACAAATGCAGAGACAGCGCTTCAGCTGACAAAGAAGCACATGAAGAAAGTGTTATGCCCGTGCCCACAACTAGCAAGACTGGGTGATAAGTCCGTTGGCAAACAGGTCTTGTCCTTAGCCTGACACCGCTCCTAATGACCATGAACTTGTATTTGTTGAGTCCACTTGATGGAAAAAGAGGAAGGGAGAGAGGGAGAGAGAGAGAGAGAGAGAGAGAGAAAGAGAGAGAGTGGAAGAGAAGAATGTGGATTGATGCAGTGACTAGATGTGGTAGCAAAGATGATATTCTGTCTGAGGAATCAAGTAGAGTTCCTCAGCCTTATACACACAACAGTAACTAGCTAATGAGTCATGCTGAGTTGCAAGGAGAAATGAAGGAGAAATGAAGGAGAAATGAAGGAGAAAGGACATGAGTCATAATGACTCCTTTGTGGGTTGAAGGATAAACCAAGGAGGAACCCAGTGAGCCATAATGACTCCTTGGTGAGTTGAAGGAGAAAACAAGAAGAAACTAAATGAGTCACAACGTGAATCCCTGGAGAAACAAAGGAAGAACCAAGGAGAAAACGAGGAGGGAGAAGATAGGAGGAAACAAAGGATTAATCTAAGATAAGACTATAACGCAATCACATGTTAAACACAATCATGTGTCTGAATGAAACCACAATCCTTCATCAAAGCATGCATATAACAGGAAGGACAAGATTGAAACGCAACATGGCACCCATCATTCAAGAAAGGGGATATCGTCTGGCTGGACTCCAGGAACATCAAGCTTCACAAGGCAAGTGACAAGCTGTCAAAGCACAAGCACCTTGGTCTGTTTGAAGTGCTGGAGGTCACCAGCGACAACACCTACAAACTCAACCTCAACCCAAAGATGAAGATCCACAATGTCATCAACATTGATCGCTTGTCACCTTGGACAGGAAACAAGGTCAATGGTGTAGTTCCAGAACCCCCAGCAGCGCTGATCGCCGACGGACAGGAGTAGTACAAGGTGGAGGCAATCTTGGACAGCCACATTTTCCAGAGGAAGCTTGAGCATCTCATCAAGTGGAAGGATTACGACATGGGACACAACACCAGGAAGAAGGGGAAGGACATTGCTAACTTGCCTGAACTCATTGGGGAGTTCAACAAGAAGAATCCTTCTGCCCCTTGTCAGGTTTCTGCCGCCTCCTTTGCGTCACTCAACTTCCAACCACTGGTGAATTTCACCAAGCATCCATTGGTTCCGGACACTGCAGTCCACGGTTCTGGACACAATTAGTAGCTGATCAGCCTCATCTCGAAGGCTCATTCAGACAGCGAAGTGGGGTAGACCGTAGCGCCGTTGTAATGGTTGTTTGTTTGTTTGTCAACGGAGAAGGACAAAAAGACACTACTATTTGGAAATGGAGACTGTGGGGATTGAACCCACGACATTACGCATATTTTACTGGACGTGCAAAGCGTACGCGCTACCACTGCGCCAAATCCCCATTGAAATAACTTGTCAGCATATAGTCTATGGTCCGCTATCATGTTCAACCAATTCACTGATTGGATTGGATTCATTCTACCCTGCCCGTTGTTGGTCATCAAATCACCTTTGCGCTAAACGTAGGACTCTTGCAAGCAGTCGTCTGCTCGGCATACGGTAGTGTATGCAGACTTTTGAGATTTGCTGGCCGCCTGGCACCGTCCGACGCTAAGCACCGGACATCCATGCTAAGTAGACCTCTGACCCCTTTGTGGGATCCGGATTCACAGTCGTTGAACATCCATTCGAAGTCGACACAGAGATGCAACGAGATGAATTGGACGAGACTAATGAATGATTCAGATAGGTAGGTAGATGATATGCTGGAGAGACAGAGACAGAGACGATAAGTAATGAACGAGACGATGCGTCTAAACTGTAGAAGAAAAACAAAAAGAGTACTTATGCTAAATGGCCATGGATCCAAAGTATCTGAGAGACTATAACTTAACAACAACAACTAACAATCCAATGCCTACGGCTGCTGCGTCCACGTGTACGCCGCCAACACCGCTCCCAAACCAAGCGCGAGGACCGGTAAGCTACCCAGCATCGAACGGGATTGGGGTTTGCTGCCGAGTGTTTCCGAGGTGGAGGCGGAGGGGAGGATGGAGCGCCGGGTGGTGTTGACGATGGGGGGGTTTTGGACTCTACGGTCGACCCAGATCTCGGGAGAGAAGTAGGTCATCATCTCGTACCCGGTGTGCTTGTGGCCAAAGGTGACCCAGGTGGTCATGCCTGGTCGTTCGGCGAGGTCTCGGTGGTTGCTGTACGATAACGTGAATAAGTAAGTGACTGTCATGAAAGAGAAAAGATGGAGGGAATGAACGGACTAGGACTTGGCTGCCTCCTTGATCACCCAGTCGCGTCCGTGCTCGCCGTCCGGGGGACCGTGCACGTCGACAGTGGGATGGTCGTAAAAGTCCTGCATAGCCTGGAAAACTTTCGCGTCGTCCTGGCAGTAATGTCTGTCCAACCCACCATGATCAGCCTCAAAACCCCTCACTTCAACAAACGCAACGGTGACTCACCTGCAGGGGAAGTACACCTTGGGAACCAAGCTCGGCGAGTTCACAGCAAACTCATAATACCACCCGAAGCAAGAAACGGGATGTTCATCGTGGTCCTGGTGGTCCTTGTCAATCTCTGTCAGCGTCTCGGCGTCCCTGTGCGAGTTGGACGGGGTGGAGGGGAAGAGGAGGTTCCACAACATCTCGAGACGGTCCATGTTCTTCTTGAACTCGGGCGTATTGAGTCGGCCGCCGAGGCTAAAGTTGCGCTTGACGTCGTCGAAGGAGAAGCCGGTACGGGTTTGGAAGTAGATCTGACAGGGAGTGAATGATCGTCGTCAGCGTCGTTGACCCCGGCGGTACCGTGCGGCGCGAATTGAAATGATGCTCACCTTGAACCTGTTCTTCTCCAACGGCGCAGCGTCAACGGCAATCATGTGGAACAGCGGCTTCAACCTATCCTCGACGCTATCGAAGTACTCGAGCATCAACTGGAACTGATCCACGAGCGACGGATGGCACGCAGAGAGCAACTGCGTCATAGGACTGAAGTCCTTGTCGCCGATGTGGATCGGACTCTTCGTGAGCGGTGTCTGGCCGGGGCGGCGGACGGTGGGCTGGTAGTAAGATTTGAGCCCGACGCGGCCGGACGGGTCGAGTGCGAAGCCTACATCATCGAGGGAATGTGAGTGGGTTGCTATGGACGACAAGAACCAAGGTATGCGCACCGAGGTAAAACCCAGTGCCCGGTGGGCAGTTCTCCTGTGCGCTATCGTCCTCAGAGAAAAAGAACTTCTCGCACTCGCGGCGCCAGTCTTCCCATCCTTCCTTGACGACGACGACGCCCAGGCCTCCTTCGAAGCTCGCGAGCCAGTCGAGGACTTGGGAGCCTCGGAGGAATTTGCCGGTGCGAGGATCACTGAGTGCGGATTGGATTGAATTAGTCATCGATGCGTGTCAAGACGTGGGGGCGGAGGGACGTACGTTGGTTGGACACAAAATCGGATTTGACGGTTGACTTCGCCAGCGACGGGTTGCGAGCCAGTGGGGATGACCTATGCCAGTGTCAGATACACCAACGTCCAGTGCACGTAAATCCGGAATAAGACGCACCCAAGAACCCTCACAAGGCGAGCCATCGATCGTCAACATCGTAGGGTTTGTCGGGCGCTCGTCTGGGCCCATCAATCCGACGACTCGGGCGAAGATGAAAGTGAGGAGCTTGGTCTGCGCTTCGAGGGTGTAGTTGGCGGTCTCCATCATCGATCCATAAGGTCGGCAGAAGTGCGTCCAGAAGAAGGTGGATTGGGTGGAGTGGAATGGGAGGACCTAGTCGCACGTTAGCGGGAAAGATAGATGGATGGATAGACAGAGGGAAGGAAGGCGTACATTGCTGAGCGCATCGTAGACGACGAATCCCTCTGGCTTGACGTAGACGTCGCCCTTTTTGTGAATGGGGTAGTCCTGGCCGAGGACGGAGCGTACGGTAGCAACGACGTTTTCATAGGTCGCTCCTTTGCTCCAGTCTAGCACGGGCGTAGGCTGCTTAGACTTGAGCGAGGTGCTGGCTTGCGCTGAGGGTCAAAGGGTAAGTAAGCATGAGGAGCACTACCGCTAGGCTAGAATGCAGGAACCCACCGAAATAACGTTCATCTTTGGAGAGAGCCTGCATCTTAGAGGAGTAAGGGAGCTAGACGGAGTGAGGCCCTGTTGAAGAGGTGGCCGGTGGGATTTAGGTGTAGGAGGAGGAGGCATTGCGTCAGGGATTCGCCTTTATAAGTATACGACGCAATGCACTCGTCCGTAGATCTGCTATACGTCCCTCACGGTGCAACGGGGCTGATTGCAGAAAGCAACTGACTGTATCATCATCCTCGCAGTTGTACACTGCCGTGATCGGTTCGGCGGAAGTATATGTCTGCCTCGGAGGAGACTCAATCGGACTGCGATGCGTGCGACATTCAGCAGCGGAGGGAGGGAGGGTGACATGAATCGTACTCGTTGAGGCGAAATCACTGTGCACGTCGTCTAACGGACGAATCGTAACCTGTGTCGCGCCAAATGCAAAAGGTTTCAGCTCTGCGCCTAGGTCGACATCGAGCTAGACGTTGAGCAGCAGCGTCTTTGGGATGTGTAGAGTGAGTGGATAATTTTGGCCCGCCGGCGCCAAGGTGGGAGGAGACGACCGCAAAACGCATCACGGACCGCACCGTAGATCTGACATCACGCGCTGTGCTGAGCGCGTCTTGGTGGCCACCACATTAAATTTACGTTGCTCGCCGGAGTGCACTTGCTTGACCGAGTGCTCGACACTGGTTTGTGGATAATTAAAAATGCCCGCGACCGTGTGCCAAGCGTTTTGTGTACACATTATTGTATCTTTACATACTACTGCATCTCCAGCCTGAGTGTGTAGGCGCTTATACGCGAATGCGAATGCGACTCTCGTCATACTAAGTGCGATCAAGGTGAGGGGTTAACTTGAGAAATAACAGTATATATGTATGACCTGGGTGCCAGTTATCCAATGGCTACACGGTATACGGGCCAGGACGAACATTCGCGCGCAACTACACTCGATTACATGAAGTTCAGAACGCCGCGCAAGGCTCGAACTTGGCTTGAGCTCAACTTAGACTCAGGTCACCGCCGAGGCACACGCAGCAAACGAACGGAATACTGTAGGGAACTAACAGGGACAGGAACATATGTATCTGCCGCTGATTGGTTCCGTGGGGTCAGTAAGTACTCGTGATCACCAAAGGTCATGCAAGTCGTGCTGTGGCGCGGCCACTATTCTCATCCTCTCTCCTCGTACCTCAACGTTAGACTTGTTTCCCGCACAACGAAAGAGTAGGTATTGTAGGTATGCTTCCAATGAATGATATCGAAACTTGAAGTAACGCGATCGGTGCATTTTTGGACCTGCAATCGTCGATACGGCATACAGTGCCAAAATCCAGTAATCCGCCAGAAGTGTGAGGTTTTTATGATTCAACAAAGGGTTCCTGCATTGTTTTGGGTTGATTGAGATCCCAAATGTTTCCCCAACGCGTGCAATACCGGCGATCTCATTCATTCTTGAGTTCTGGTTCAGGGAAGTTGCAGGCAACAAGCTGCATCTGGCATGCTGACCAGATATGTACTCGCAAATAGCAGTAGTGATTGCCTGGCATAATTAATCTGTTCTTGCGTCTACTGAGATTGTCTGCATGTATTCTTGTATGATAGACATATTCTGAACTTCCTCTGGCAGGCATAAATTGATTCTGGCACAAAAAATGCAGGGCTGACATGCAGTTTACAGTGCCATCCACAGAAACACAGCAGTTCCTAGCTCATAGGATCCATATAAACTCAAAACAATGCAGGAACCCTTTGTTGAATCATAAAAACCTCACACTTCTGGCGGATTACTGGATTTTGGCACTGTATGCCGTATCGACGATTGCAGGTCCAAAAATGCACCGATCGCGTTACTTCAAGTTTCGATATCATTCATTGGAAGCATACCTACAATACCTACTCTTTCGTTGTGCGGGAAACAAGTCTAACGTTGAGGTACGAGGAGAGAGGATGAGAATAGTGGCCGCGCCACCGCACGACTAACATGACTTTTGGTGATCACGAGTAGTCTATATGCGAGAAGAACCCCGGAAGAACCCCTAGATACCCAAGAGCGCGCGGAAAGACGAAGGAGACCCTCTGTGGTAGCCAGCCGCACTGGGCATATGCGCATAGTCTGGCAACCTTAAGCTGCGGTGTGCCGTTGCGCTGAGTCGTACTGGCAAGTGACGCAAAAGGTTGGCGCGAGAAATTGAAGTTGAAGACACAATCATACAGCGACTTTACTGACATAGAATTCTGTTCCATTTCACTCACTGTGTAAGTGCTTGCTCAGAGCACTGAGATAGCAGTGGTATTTCTTCCCCTGTGAACATCGTGGGGA